TTTATAAAAAAAATTGTAAAATATCTAAATTTTATTTTTAATCTTATATTTGAGTAATAATATAGAATGACATTTTGATATGACGTGTATTCGTTTTATTACTTTAAAAATTAAAATTTTTTCTCTTAAATATTTCATTTACCTTACACGTGTACAATGAATGTTATATGGGTAAAATGTGGTCCTATATTTACAATGAAAATGAAAAAAAAAAAATTATTTATATAATATGTAAGGGTATAAATGTAAATAGGAAGGAACAATTCGATTATTTAATAAAAATGTGGATTGAAAAAATATCACAGTTGAAATATTTAAAACGAAATTCTATTTCGGGTTTTAAAATGAAAAATTTTAGTATGTATTGTTACTTTTGAATCTATTACGATTACAATAATAATGTATACTTGATTTTAATTCTATTAATGAAGCTACGGTTGTTATAATAAATTATTGTTTAATAAAAAATCCTCATTATATTTTAATCAATGCCCAGGTAAAAAACAAAAAATAAGAAAAAAATTACAAATTTTTTTTTAAAAATTAAATCTAATACAAAAAATCAAATCTAATTTTAATTTAAAACCGATGTACTAAACCAATTTTAATGATTTTAATTAAGTTAAATCTCAAAATTAGATTTATTCAAATTAGACAATTTCGATTTTAAATTTTTTTTTCCTCAAACAACAGTATATATCAAATACAAATGAGATTTCTCGAGTTCAGCGCATTTCAAAAACTGACTTATTTAATTTTGAGCATAAACAACTAAAATTAATTGAATAAAATTGCTAAAGGCTTTGCATAACAAATACCATAAAAACTATTTTACAGAATAAAATCATCGATTAAATTAATTTAAAATAAATTTGATTAAATAACAATAATTTAGTTAACTATTCAATTTATTGTCTTATATTTGACTACAAAAGCATTAATTTTTAAATGAATATAATTAAATTATATCGCAATATATAGCACCTTTTTTATTTCATTTCCACCTTAACATGTAAGATCTCGCTTATAATTTAAATATTTACATACATTTATATATAAAAAGTGATTTATAATCATCTAAAAAAGGCGATTTCATTTCAATAAATTCTAATTCAAAATCATAATAACTCTCTTAATCTTTTCAGGTCAAATATTTCTTTCTTATATGTCACTGGCATTGATTACTAGTTTTCTTTTTTCACCAATAACAATTTGGCAAATAAACAAATATATACCAAATTCAAAAAATCTTATTATTCTATTACAAGGATATACGGAGAATATAATACTAAAGAGTAATATACACATATGATATCCTTAATATTGTATACATATTGTTATATCCTGAAAATAAATGGTTGAGTTCTGCTATTGATTGCATTGTCATGTATTTTGCTGTTTTTTCACTTGTTACTCTCATTTCTGAAAAGTTGAATGGACAATAAACAAAAAAAATGCCATTTTCTTTTCTTTTTTTCAACTTATTTTGACAAAAAAAGGAAAATTTGGTGACAACGGTAAAATGTTATAATAAGAAAACATAAAGAAAAAAAGCTTACACATGCATATAAACTATGAAATTGTAAAGAGAAAAACAATAAGAAAAAGGGTGCTTAAGAAAAATGACAATGTTAAAGGATGTGAAGCAATTTATATAAGGATTGAAATAACAAATTTTCCTGCTTGTCATTGATCTCATGTATTATTTTCTTATTTTGCTTTTATTTGTCGTTGTTTTCTATTAAATATTTACTTTTGTCCTCTTATAGTTTTTGGTTTTCATACAAATGTTAAGATCGTATGTACTTGTAGAACAAAGTGAATTTACTTTAATTGGTTTTAAAAAAAAAAAATTCGACATAGAAAACTTTAAATAACTTATGTGTCTTGCGTCTTTAAAGAAAAACGAAAAAAATCGAATGAAGATTAAAAAGGACTCTTTATTCAGAGAAAAAAAAATAATATAAAGTAAAATGTCATCTATTAAGTTAAAAAAACAATATTTAGTAAAGCAATTCCCGATCAGTTCGTGTTTTCGTGTTTTTCAAGGTGGGAACTTTAAATTGAAAAGATTTTGGTTTAAGTTACCAAAGTCATCCTGCTTTACTTATAGGCATTTACTTTTGATTTACGTACAATAACAGATCTAAAAATTTTAATTTGTTCCGAAATTTTTCTGAATTAACACTTATTCTGAATTTCGGAAAAAATTCCGAATAAACCCTATTTTTTTAAAAAAATATTAAATAATCAAACACGATTATTTTTTCGAAATTTAACTGGTGTTAAATTCAAAATTAATACAAATATCAACTGGTAACAGAGAATATTATAGTATTATTCCATTAATATTTAATCATTCCACAATTTTATGAGAAGTTAAAATGTACTCTAATCTAATACTAATCGACTCTGTTGGTATGGCACATCAAACATTTGGCGTTTCAACCTACGAACATACCTACGAGTATTAAATATTTTCAGTACAAAATTTACATTTTGCTCCTCTTAATTATAACTTTTAGGCATTCCATACAAAAAATATTCTTAACGTTAATGATCGAGAAAATAAAATTACATGCATATAAGAAATATTTTTTCTTTTTGCAAATTCATTGTCATTTAATTTTCTTGTCTGAACCTAAATTAAGGCCCCCACGTTATCTTTTTATTTTCCTCATATAATTTGTAATATTTCTTTCGTATATGAAAACGAAAATGTCTCGAAAAAACCATTTTAAACATGTTTGACATACGTTTTTCTTATTTAATAAATTAATTTTTTCAGATGATTCGGCCAAAAGCAAAAAATTATTTTGTCTTTTCTTTGCTTAACGGTCCTGTATAATTTCTTTTTCATGCTTAATCATTTTGATTCATTTATTTTTTTAAAAAATACAAAAATCCTAAATATCTTATACCGAATCATCTGATTTTTCTTAAATTACTTATATATACATACATATAAATTTTTTGTTTGATTAAACTCTCATGATTGCTAGCTTTGGCATAATCATATAATACAACTTTGAACATAATATTAAATCCAATTTTAGGAATTTAATCAAACTTGCTTGTTATATTTCAAAAATTATCACAAAAATTAATAGATTTTTAGTTTTTGTAAATTTAACGTGAAGATTTATAAAACAAAAGCTGGTTTTAATCAAAATTTAAAATTAATAGTAAGATCGTGTAAATCTTAATTATGAAAATCAACTTTGAACGATTCCACATTAAATATAATGGTGTGGACAAGAAGAAACCAGTAATAATAATAATTGTTCGCATGTATGGGTGGATTTAATTCTTAATAGAGGTACAAGGAGCACTTTAATAACAAAACCAAATGTGAGCTCTTTGTTCCATGATTACAGCATAAACTACTTTCGTTCCATTTACTGCACTATGATTACTGCTTTACTTACTTTCATTTCTGCATTGTCTATTTCTTCTTTCCTGATTCATAAATTTTACAACTTTTAAAAAGGCCGATTCCTGTTCCGATTAAGAGCGCTTCTGCTTTATCCACCGATGGTAAACGTTTCCTGTTATATTCTTTAGCGAAAATATTATATTGATTTATTATATTGATGAATCATTTAGTTGACCTCATACACTTCCAAACTAAAAAAGGAAACAACATCTCTTTAACATTATTTTTATGAAAAATTTAAAAAAAAATTAAAAATATTACTTTTATTATATTTTTTTTTTATCTTTACAATATTTTTCACCCTCGAATAAAAATCTTTTATAATAATTACAAAATAATGTAAACGGCGAATAACACTGCAGTTTGAATTAAAAATTTCAAAAGAAAACTTTTAAAGCACAAAAAAAAATTGTTTTTCTTTTCACTTAAATAATATTCGCACTTCAAAAGAAGAAAATTAAAAAAAAAAATTCTCTAATATTCAAAGTGAATCATAATTATTTTGTATACGTAAATGAAATGATGCGATCCTTTAATTAAACATATAAAAGAAACAATTTTTTTTTCTGTGTAATTAAAAAAGTAAAATAAAAAAATATAAAAGATAATCAAATAAAATGCTATTCACTTATTATTTACACAGAGACTACAGTAAAATAAAGGTAGCGTGCAAAGTAATTAATGTCAGTAACTTTCTAAATGTAGAAATTCATGATGAAAACATCATGTTCATCTAATTTTGTGAAATTCGTATTTTCAAAACAGATTCATTTTTAATAGTAAGTAAATTGTTCTAAAATTGACCTAGACCTAATCGAAGCCCACAAAGAATAGGTTTAAAAACTTCATCGCACTGTTGACATCCGCTTTTTGTAAACGTATGAAAACTGATATATGATCCTCGCCCTAGAAAATTCTAAATATCAAATATTAATTAACGTACAAATTTTAAGTTAAAAAACGACCCTATGACTTGCTAGATTCTATTTGAAATCTTTATTTTTCGATTGTTCCATTAGTTATAAAAAGACTCTTAAAATTGTACATTTGAAATTCTTGAATGTTCCGTATTAGAGATTTGAAGTCTAGACCTTTGATACTTCTATTAAATTCAACATTAAGCATTAAGATTTCCAGATATTCATTAATATTATGCATTAAGAACTTCAGTAGGACTTCAGGTCCTTAAATATCATTTCGAATAATTTCGCGAATGAATAATTTTAATTATGAAGTAATTATAAGAATTTTTTTTTCATTCTTTCATTTACAATTTAATTTTACATACTAGTTACAATGTACAAAAATTTATAATTAAAATAAAAATGCATAATATAATTTCATAATTATAGACGTTAATAATTATCTTTGTCTTTTTTTATAATTATTAAAATAATTTTATATAATGATGTAAATTTTTACGAAAAAAAAATTATTTATTTTTACTTTCTTAATTATGTAATTTAATTAAAAAATATCATTATTTCTTAAATTTTTCATATTTTTGCTTATAATTAATTGATAAAATATTAAATTTTTTTCTATTCTTTTCATTTATTTACAGAGTAATACAATCATCACATCCAGTTTGTAATACAATTATGTTATTTGGTGTTATAACGTGCTTAGCATCAGTAATTTTATTAGGAATGGATGGTCGTTTTATTAGTCCAGAAACATATCCAGAGGTAATTTTTTTTTTTTGAAAAATATGAATTATTAAGATTAATTAATAAATATATTCAGCACCTTAAACCATAAAAACAAAGTGTTAACGATATAAAGCGATAGTCTGTCAATATCGAAACATCTCGTTTTATTAAAAGGCATATAAAACTCCAAGAATCTTAGTTAAAATTTCTAAGAATTTCTAATTAATCTAAGATGATTTAAATTACTTATTAGTTTAACTAATTTCGTTTTTACTAGGACACCCTTATGAGGTTTCCCTTCAATAACATTTTCATGATTGCACGCCCTTTAGATTTTTAATAAATCAAAACAGTGATTGGACATTTTTTTTATACTTCATTCATTTGATTAAATCTTCTCTTAAAATAAAAAAAAAAAAAAACTAAAAAGATTTTTTCAAGGATCAAAATTTTTTTATTTTTTTCCTTGAAATATCAGAACAAAAGTAATGGTTGAGCTTTTCATAAGAAAACTTTTTTTCCTCCAAAAAAAAAAAAAGTAGGTTCCATTCAGGATTTTTAATAACTTAAAGTTGGTTTTTTTTATTTTTGGTTCTCTTTGTTTGTTTAAAATCCTTAAATGAAAACATTGTTGTTGATATCCGAAAAAAAAAAACACCATGGTAAATTTAAGCAGAATAGAAAAAAGTGAATTTTGATTATTATCCTTGGATATGAAAACAAAATCGATATTCTAATGAAAAGGAAAAATTTATAATATACGTGAAAAATATTCGGAAAAAAAAAATTAAATATGTAAAATTTTTATTATTAGTTTTAACTGAACAACGGCGGAGAGAACAACAGGAAAACTCAACTCAAATATTTCATTTTCACTCTTAGAATTTAATGGATCGCTAAAATTTTTTAGCGAGGAACACAAAAACAAAAAAAAACAAATATTCAATGTCATTTATGAAAATTCAATTTCAAATCGATTGAAATCAATAATATTCGCCAATTTGCATATTAAAATTCATTAGAAATATTAAATGAATTATTTTTAAAAATGGAAAAATTGCTGAATTGGAAAAAAATCTTATTAAAAAAAAATATTAATTATCTTTTTCTATTCTGAAATCATTGCGTTTTTTTTTTAACATTTCAAAACAGAACAATAATAATTATTGTAGAAAAGGATAATGAATAAATAAATGAAATTGCACTTAAAAACTAAAAAAAGTTTTTCATTTAATAACAACAAATAACATTTAAACTTACACTTAAAGAAAATTTAAACAAATACAAAGTGTATTATAATTATTTGCCTTGTAATGAGAACTTTTCTGATTAATAATTATTAAAAATTATGATTTTCTTGCCTATCTTATTGTAAAATATATAATAAATTCAATACTTATGTGTTCATTTTTAATAGATTCTTACTTGCCAATACAATAAGTAGCAGCAAAACGATAACATATATCAGTATTCTTACTTGGGCAGCAAAACGATTATATGTACAAGTATTTGAAATTTCTGAAAACTTTATTATTAAAACTCGATCAAATTTCAAAAATTTCTCGAATAATGGTCTGATCCCGACTGTTTATTTAAATTCCTGTACTACTTAAAAATATAATATAATAAAATTCCTATTTTTATAGTCCTACACAATAACAAATGATTTTTTTTCACTTCTAACTCATGTGTCTAAAATTTTACTCTAATTTTAATGCCATTTCATTTAATTATGGTGGTTGCCTAATTACAATATTTCTCAATTCTATTCATCAAAAAATTTCAATGTTAAATAATCGTCAAAATGGAACCTAATATTGAAAAAAAAAAAAATAAATAAAATTGTTACGCTTATAATAAAATTTTTAAAGGAAAAACTTTTTTAAATGAAAATATTTTTAATATTAAATAGAATTTTATTATAACAGCTCAACTATAACAAACAATAAGAAAACAAGCAAATAATTATTCATTCAAGAAACCAAAATTTTTTTAAGGCATAATAGTAAAATAATTTTGAATTGGAACAAGGACCAAAAATTTTTCTTAATGGAAAAGTTTTTCATTTTCTTTTTTGGCTTACGTAACTTATTGCCTAATTGAATTTCATTTAAATTTATTTCTACTAATTTTTCAAGAATACACGTGATTGTAATATTGAATTTAGATTCAAAAAATTATTTTCTTTTTATTTTGGAATAGCTGTGCATATAAAAAAATTATTTTAACCAAAAAACTTAATAAATAATATGGAAACATAAAAAAATTAAAAAAAAGAAAACCTAAAATGAAAATAATATTATTAGTCCTTGTTAGTCCTTGTTTTAAATTAGGAAGAAAAAAAAAATACATTAAAAATAATTTATATTTTTTTATCTTTTTTTTCCGTATCCTTTAAGTACTCTTATCCTTTGTAGACATTTACTTTATGTATATATTCAACTAATTTAATTACAAAAAGAAAATTTCTTTTTAAATTAATCTTTATACTAAAGTGAACAGAACCGAAGTAGTTCTGTTATACAACAGAAGTATAGAAGGAACTTCAAAACCTCAAAAATTCATATTATGTATGTGAAGCATTGTATGTGAAACTCGCTAAAAAATCACTAAAAACTCAGTAAAAATTTACCATTGAAAAAAATATTAAAATTATAAATGAATTTTATCTCTTTTGTTCTTTGTATAATACCATAAAAATAATGTTATATAACAAATATTTAACTTGCATATTTTTACTATTATTATCCTTTTTATTATAATGTGTATGCCACTACTTTTTATTTAATTTCTCTACAATGCGCTAGTAATTTCTTTTTTCTTTACCAAAATATTAAAAATTTATATTATTTAAATGTTCTATTTTTTTTCTTTTTGTATACAGATATGCCAAGCACGAGCATGGCTCCTTTCAACAGGATTCACATTAGCTTATGGTGCAATGTTTAGTAAAGTATGGAGAGTTCATAGGTTTACAACAAAAGCGAAAACGGATCCTAAGGTAAATAATTTAATTTTATTTTTAAAATTAAAGAGAAACTTTTATAAAAGGATAAATTTTTAACAGATTTTAAAATTGCATTGAAAAATATTTCATCTTGGATTTCGTGTTTGAATTTTATTTGATGTTATATTAAAACCCTTGACCACGTTAGCACACTGAGCAAAAAATTTATTGATCTAACACTCAAAAGTGTTAAAATAACAAATAAAAACTAAATGCTACAAGTTTGACTCTTAATTAGCACTCTTAATAACAAAACTATAAAGAACCAAATTATTGTCATAATTTAAAGTTTTTTAAATAAAACATTTCATTCGAAATTTCCAATTTTTTATATTTTATATATGCATCCACTTTTTTCTGATCCTCAAATTCAAGTATTGAAAAAAAAAAAACTTTATTTTACCCTCTTACTATTCATTTTTTTTTTTATTTAATTTAATTTCCTGATCTCTTATACCAATTTGTTAAGTTTCTTCATTAATTTTAACCTATTCAAAGATCCAGAATGGGGAAAAAAAAATCAAAATTACTTGTATATTCAATTTTTTCTTTGTATATAGTCTGTTCTGTACGCACTTACATAATATACATCTTTCATCAACAACAACAAAGCAAAGTCCCAAATAAAGTACCTTTCAAAATGAATTGAAGAAATGAACATGATTGTATACAAAGTATGAGAGAAGAATTTTCTTTTTCTCATTATTTCCACTTTTTTTTTTTTTTTGCTTCTACACTTCAAATAAATTAAGAGTAAGTAGCTTAAAAGTTCTTTTTTATTGTGCCTTTCTTATGAATTTCGATTGATTCAAGGCGAATTCACACTTTTTTGTACTTTATATTGTTGTGTTGTTTTTTTTTCCTAGTTTTTATTTAATATAATTTTATAAATAAGATTGCCAATACGTTCGGAAAATTTTTTAATCATTTCTTGAACTGAGATTGTTTTTATCAAAATTTAGATTTGTTATGTTCTAACTTGCGTGCCACGTTTCACCTTAACTAAACGGAGTTTGTGCTGTTTTCAAAACTTTCAATTACACTTCGATACCATAAAAGTTATTAGAATACTTTTGCAAGATTTTCGACCTATGAGTTTTCTAACATAATTTACCCGGAAATTAAATATAACACAATATCACAATTGAATTGTGTATTGTATTTTATATCAAATATTAAAATTGATCTTATATAATAGAAACTTATATGCTACAAGCCTTCTCTTCTCTTAAAATCTCGTTGAATTATCTTTACCTTTTCCTCTTTTTCGCCTTCACAATTTGATCCGTTTTGTTATCTCTCGTTGTATAAACTTATAAAATTCATTCTTTTTGCCAAAAAATTTCCCAAAATCATAACAGAAATAATTCGGTTGCCTTGTAAAATATTTTTTACATCGGGAAAATTACGTTACTTCATCTTTCATACATTTCTTTGTTTGATAGCATGGCGTCCATCTAAAAAGAAATTAAAATGAATAACAGAAAAATAGAAAATGTTGTAAGAAGTTTGTTTTTTGTATCAAAAGAATATTATAGAATATTAAAAGGTTAAAAAAATTGAAAAATTAAGGTTCCAATTTAGCTACTAGGTTTTTCAATAAAAATCATTAACAAAAAAAAAACTTGTAAATTATTTTGTACTTGACTAAAATTGGATATAAAATAAAAGTTTTTTAACTATTTTATTGAGAGAGAAAAGTAGAAAGTCATTAAGAGTTTATTTCAAATTAATATAAAGAGTTTATTTCTTTTTTGAAAGGAAAACTCAAAGGTCTGCGAAGAACGAAATCTGTAGGCATATTTAAAACTAAATAAATAAGTTAAATGTAATTATAATATTTATTTTTTATTGAATTTGACAATTTCAATGCAGAATATAAGCAGAAACCAATTTTAATGCAATGGCAAGTGAACTTCAAATTTAGTAAAGTGAAATTTTATAATTTTTACATGGATGATTAGGGTTACGATTCAATGATATAGAACCCTGATTTCCTCTGTTGAGTATGATCGGTATACATTCTATACCTTACACAGTTTCATTTCTCAACCACGATTTGTAATTATTCTTAAATTAAATGATTGTACATCTAAATCATAACAACAAAGCTTATTAATAGCAGATTTCGGTGGAAAATATGCAGAGTTCATAACCACGCTGAATAAAAATTGAATTACTTGCAGTCTTCCCATCACTAATTCCAATTTTAGTAGCTGAATAGTTCAAACAAACTTCAAATTTACAATAATTTTTCTAATAATCTCTTAATTTTATTATTTAGTTCCATTATTCACCTCTATTATGATTACATTTTTAATTTTATATAAAAAATGCACAATAATAAGTTCACTGATTTCTAAAAAGAAAAAGAAAGTGCAAAATTTACTGAATTTTGTAATAAAGAGCTAAAATAATGCGATTCTAATCAGTTTTACTCAATTTTATCAAATGCAATCAAATTACCAAAATAATGTTAAAGTATGCAATTTTATAAAACTATAAAAAAAAAATATTTAATTAAATTTTATTATTTTCTTTTCTCTATTTTATTTTTATTTTTATAAAATTTCGATTTTCCCATTCAATTTCAATCAAATAGATAATAATATCCCATTGTTCCATTCGGTGTAGTAATCTAACAGCATTCAGGAGCATAAAATTCACAAAGTGATAACAGCAAGAGATAACAGTAAAACAAAAATCAATTTACGAAATGCATCGAAAATTCATTTATCAATATTGGAGGCAAATACACACACACACACATATTATTTACAATATTTTCAAAATATCCTTTTTAGTCTATAAACATGCCACTATTGTAGATGTCACCATACAATAATAAATTTATAAAAATAGTAAACAAAATGGTAAACTTTTATATGCATTGGAAAAAAATTTTTTTTTTTCATGCTGCGTCGTCATTTTGACACCCCCATACTTATATATAGGTTTTAAAAATTTAAAATTGTTATAAATTTTGCTATTCGATTTTTAAGTGCTCATAAAACAAAAGAGAGTGGGACGATACACAGGGTGTCTGTGACAAAGAGAAGAGAGCCTTATGATGAATGGGGTCTGCAGAAAAGTAAAATATTTAATCTCTGTGACAAGTGGTTTAAAAAAAATTTACTTAATTCGTACTATGCGTTATATTGCTTGAGTTATAAAGAGCAAAACAAGAAGACCGTCTTATATGTCGGGAGCAAAAGCAGTAACAAAAGAGTATTCTACTTATATTCAATCATCCTGCATTTGCTGTTTCATAAGCAGAAATCGAAAAAAACGGAAAAGCAATTTTATTATAACATTGTTTATATTTTTAGTATATACTCCTACAGAATTTTGCGTGTACCTCTACTATATTCGATATGAAAAAAATGTTCCCGCATAAAATTTAAAAATAATTTTCTATGGAAATTTATCAAAATTTGATTGACAGATGGTCGAAATATTTGTTTTCAATATTCGAAATTAATTTTTTTCGTTTTTGTTTATTTTTTTTTTTTTTTTTTTATAGTAACAAAATAATAAATTGAAATTGTCGCATTCGTAACATTGCAAATGACAATTGTTTGTAGCAAAAAATAAAAAAAAATCAATTTATACAAGATTTCAAATATAGTGAAAAAATTTACAAAAATAAAAAGAAATTGTGAGGGCATAAGCTATGAATTTGATATTTATTGGCAGTCTTGTTACAAAATTTATTACTATTACAAATGTCATTTTATTACTTACGAAATGAATTTGTTACATAAATAAATTGGCAAATATATAAATTGAAAATTGTTACCTAAAGTATTTATATGTAACTAACCCACTAGCTGTAGGAAATGGAAGCAATGGTATATTGCGTACATATGTATTGTAGTTAATCTTCTAAATGGTGGAAACCCATTAATTTTTACAAAGGAAATGTGAATATTTTAGTTCAGAATTATCTAAAGTCGGTTTATTACTTTCAAACAATTCATATAGCAAAAAATAATTTTAAAAATTTTATTTTGAAAGTATTGTTTCAAAAGTACGGCTAATGATAGGGACTGGAATATAATACATCATTTTTGTTTCGACTAAGCTGCCTTAAACGCATTCGTTTTCTTTTGATTTATTTTGTACAATTTATTCTATAAGTACTTTTGAAAAATAAATTAACAATAACCTTACGATTTATCTTGTAAAATTTTAAATTTCTAGTACAATTTATACTTTTCTATTAACCATAATTGTTTTATGAACTTTTTTCTACGCAATGTAACCTACATACAGTAAAATGTGTATAAAAGAGTAAAGCTACTCAACATTAATAATAATAATATTTTTAATTCCATTTTGAAATGTATTTTTCCAATATTTGACATGAAAAATTAACAAATAAAATTTAAATATATGTGCATAATTTGAATTATTTTTAAGTAAATATACATTCATGAAATTATATTTTTATTCCTAGAATTCTATATTCTACATAAATAACAATATTAACTGCCATTACTATTTTATACTTTTTATAAATTTCATATAAATTCATTGTAAAAAATATTTTTACATAGAAGACAAAAAAATAAATCATAAATTGTATGTTCTATGTATGCTACGTACATAGCCAATCGTTCAATATTAAAATTTCAAAGTAATTTTCCCAAATATTTATTTATATTTTCAATAAAACTTGTATTGAACTTAAAATATTTATTTGTAATAATTTGAATTGTATTGTAATTTTTTGTCGTTTATTATAACTTTGACAAAATAAGCACCATTCGTCACAATTGAAAAATAACAAAGAGTTTCAAAATATGAAAATTCTTAAATTAAATAATTTTTTACTTGATACTAAAATAAAAATCAAATATGAAAGTTTTTTTAATACAAAATTCATAAAACATGTGTTTTAGAGTAGTGCCATTATTGTAAATTTTTAAAAGTTACTATTATTAAAAAGGTGAATTGAATGAGGGCTAATAGTACATAATTATAAATTATTCGCTTGAACCTTATATAAATTTTGAATTTTGTTCTACAGTATTGAAATGAATTTTGAAAATTCAACAGATTTGCAAAGAATCGTATTTAGAGAATCGATATTTTAATTATAAATGTTAAAACGCTATCGTAAGCTACTACACATTGTAGATTTACTACAAATCAACAAGTTCTATATACTATCAAGAACAACTTTTACATATTACAATTGCAGAAAAGTTAATAATTTCTGCTATAAAAAAAAAATTCAAATTTCGAATAAAATTTAGAAATTGTAAACTCAAGTTATAGAAAATTTAAAATTTCCTTTCTTTAACACATTTCATGCAATTATTTCTTTTACAATAAAATCATAATGCCATTTTAAAATTACAAAACAAATAAAAAAAGCAAAAAAAAGTTAAAACATTATTTCATTATAAGCCATAAAGTAATAAAGTATGTAATAAAATTTATATTTATTCTGATTTGTTTAATTTTATTGGAAAAAAAATCTATAAAAACGATTTTTAAAACAAAAAAAAAGTATTATTGTACAAGATGAAAGAGCAATATTATTTGAAATAATCACAAAAAAAAATATAAATTTTGAAATCAGAGATTAATATAATAAAACAGTGATCAGATTAAGTGTAACACCCCCTGCGAAAGAAGACATTAAAATATATTTGGATTTTTTATTATTTGAAATTTATAAAATTAATAACACACAATGCAAACATTTCAAATTATATTGAATTTTTGTTCAATATTTACATTTAATAAAATTGAGAAATAAATATTTTCAATTATATCATTTAAAAAATTAATTAATTTTAATTATTTTTAATTATTTTAAAAATGAATATTAATAACGCATATTTTAATATTTTTTTTTTATATTTATAGAAAAAAGTCGAACCATGGAAACTGTATACAATGGTATCAGGTTTACTATCTATAGATTTAGTTATATTAATTTCATGGCAAATATTTGATCCATTACAACGTAGTTTAGAATCATTCCCTTTAGAAGATCCAATTTCAAATGTAGATGATATTAAAATTCGTCCTGAATTGGAACATTGTGAAAGTGAAAGAAATTCAATGTGGTTAGGTGAGTATATATTTTTTTAATTGTTTAAAATTTAATTGAAAATTCTTATAGGGAACAAAGAATAACATTTAAAATAAGAATTCATTTAAAATTTAAAAATTCCATTTCACTATGTAACATTTTTCAATTAAGTTGTCTTAAAAATCTTTTCTTTTTTAAATTCAAAAATATTGCAAACTATTCAAATGAAAAACCCTAAATTTTAAGTAACTTAACAAAATATGCACTTTCTATTACTATACGTTTCCAATTTAAAAATTCTTTTGTATTGAAAATTCCATTCTGCACCTCATGCTTGTCTACAAAGAAAATTTTCCATTAAAGAATTTAGAAAGAAAACAAAAATTTCCAATTTGTTTGTATACTTTTTGAATTTTTACATTTTTACATTCAAATTTTTTTTTTTATTTGTTTTTTCTTTTTAGGTCTTATATATGGATTTAAAGGACTTATATTAGTATTTGGTTTGTTTTTGGCTTACGAAACCCGTTCAATAAAAGTTAAACAAATCAATGACTCAAGGTATGTCGGTATGAGTATATATAATGTGGTTGTGTTATGTTTAATAACAGCACCAGTTGCAATGGTGATAGCATCACAGCAGGATGCATCATTCGCATTCATTTCATTAGCTGTAATATTTTGCTGTTTTCTTAGTATGCTATTAATATTTGTGCCAAAGGTAAGTTATATTTAAATATGTATGTAAGAGTTTATTAATTTTATAAATGTACTTGTATAGATTTGGTTAGGTAAATGCAAAAAAAAAAATATGTTTGAATTTTTTGTTGGAAAAATTTAATTTTGTATTATTCTTTGGAAACCACCTATACCGAAATTAAGGCCAGAATATATTATTAATTAAATTAAAACCCTTGATGTTTTATGGATTAAACAATGTGAATGTCTTCTAACTATTCTAAAATTATAAACATTTACATTAATTATTAATTATTATTGGATTCATATAATTAAAAAATCTGTGTTTATTACTACTACAAATATTCTTGAGCATTTACTTCACATTTTATGTGTGAAAAAGCATCAATTTTATTCTAATAAAATCAATGAACAGCTACTCTTTTTCAGTCATGAGCCCAATTCTGTTACGAGTACATCCTGAAAATTGATTCAGTCTTAGCGTTAAAAGAATCATAAAAAAATATAATAAAATACGAAATTTAGAATTTATTTTGGTATTAACATTAAAAATCTTTTTTATTCAGAAATCAAAGGAAGAGAAAATTTAAATTTCACATATATTTCAAACGATTTTATTTAACCCAGCATTTACACATACAAGTTACTTGCATGCAAGTTTGTATAATATTAATTGTCAATTAGTTGTTCGAAATGTCAAATTACTTGCTATTATGACGTAGGCGTTTAGCAAGTTAATTTTTGAAAATGTCTTTGAGAAGAAAACAACTAGCAATATATATAATTGTTTATAAATTTTAGAAACCATAAGTTTGCTAAGTTTAATTTTTTCAAAACAAAATTCAAAAATTTTAAATTAAAAAAAAAAAAAAATCAAAACAACAAATTTTTTTTTGTGAATTTCTCAATATGTCAAATTACTTGCTCAAATTACTGGCAGCAAAATTTTCTTGCAAGTTGAACTGCAAGTAAACAAGCAAGTAGAAATATTTCAATGTGTTAGTAAAATTTTTGTATGTATTGCAACTTTCTTGCAAGTAACTTGTACGTGTAAATGCTGGGTAATATAGTTTCTATTTAAAATTTTTTAACAATAAATTCTCGAATATTTTTATCAGAAAAATTTTTGTTCTCCCATTTTTTTTTATATTCTTCCTTTTCCTTGAATTTCCAAACCATAAATTTCTTGTTAATACCATTTTCCTCGTTTTCAAAGAAATATTCCAATTTTTTCGTTTTTCTTCTTTTTTTACTTTTCTTTTTTTTGTATTTTATTAAATTTTTTTAGTTTTTTTTTCATTAGTACAATAACGGAAAAACATTAAATTTTTCCAAAACATTTAAGATGCATTTTTAAATTTTCAGCAAAAAATTATGTTTTAATAAAAATATTTTATACGTTCTCTTCAGTATAAAAAAAAATATGCGAAAAATTAAAAATTTATTTTTCATCACAATTTTGTCGCAACTTATTCGAATTCTTATTTTAATTTTTACAGGTAATTGAAGTAATACGACATCCAAAAGATAAGGCTGAATCAAAATATAATCCAGATTCAGGTATATCAAAAGAGGATGAAGAACGATATCAAAAATTGGTTACAGAAAATGATGAATTACAACGACTGATAGCACAGGTACAGTCAACGTTTAAAATTAATCAATCAATTTTAAATAACATCTTCATATTGACAAGGCAAATCAAACTAAACCTAAATAAAATTTTCAACTATAAAGAACCCACTTCAGCCTGAATTATCAAAAATTAAAGAAACAAAGAAAAAAAAATCATTCACTAATTATTTGCTCTACATTGAAAATTATAATTTAATTAATAGTGTACAAAACTCAGTACGATGTAGGTCACGTATTTAATGATCTGATTTAAAAAAAAAAAAATTTAAACTTAAAATTTCAAATCAATGATTTCATCTTCAAAAAACTTTAATAGAACAAAACCATATACGAAAATCTATAACTCTTAATTTGAAAACTATATTAATTATTTGAAAACTATATTAATTATTTTGGAAACAAGTGTCGTAAATCCCAGTGAATTTTATAAATAAATTTATTACAAATTTGAAATTTCCTAAACAGACTGTTGTTTCAGCTACTATTAGTACATGTAAATGAACAAGCTAGTTTTGTTATCGTTTAACAAAAAAAAAATACAAAACTTTTAATTAAAGACCTGAAAAAATTTTTCCTCTTTAATTAAATTTCATTGAAATTTCTAAAAATAAAATCCTTAAAATCTTAAATTGCATAAATTAGAAATTATTATTAATTCAAGTTAAAAAATTAAATAATAATAGAACCAAAAGAGTTAAAGGATATTAAAATACGGTTGATTTACAATGTTTTAACAAACGCTCCAGCCTCATGACATCAATTTCAAAAATTAGGTTAAAATTTTCTACGAGTATAAAGCAAAATTCCTTATCACTTTATGAATATTCATTACTGTTGATTATGTTATGTAGACATATGGCACATTATTATAGAAAAAATTCCAAACAAAATAATTTTCCATGATAAAAGGGTAATTTCTCTGATATAGAAAAAAAATCATAGAATATTAATATATTTACAGGAGTACCATGCTAAAATGACTTTTTTATGCAAAAAGTCTTATATTAAAAGAGTTTTATTTTATATTTCACAATTCGTACTCATTTTAAAACTTTATTTAAGTTAAAAAATTTAATTTTGTATTTCTCAATGAATTTTTTCAAAAATTCGAGAAAGACTCTAAAGGCATATGTGGATCCTTTCCTAAATCATCTCTACTAGCATTGTAATTTCTATAGGAGCACACTTTTCAAAATAACCAGAATTTAGTAATTAAATCTACCAATAATTTTGAATATGTTGATTTCGTCTCTGGCATCACTGCTTACTTTTTATTATTAAACTATTAAAATTTTAACAATCTATAATGAACTGCACATGCACATCATACAATTTCTGGAATAAATCATTCATATATAGTTATTGAAAATGCTATAAGTATACGATTTATAAAAAATCTACTAATATAAATTTTCTACAAGTAATATACGTTCATAATACATAAAATTTCCTATGTGATATATTTGAAATACAAGTACATAAAAGCATAGCATTATAATTTATATATTGAGCTTCATATTATATCAAATAATTTTGTTATAACGTTTAAAGGATATTCTATAATATCCTTAGAAAATACACACATAATTTTGTATTTTGAAATATTTCACATTCAATATTTAAAAAAATTTAAGTGTCTGAATTTAATATCCATAGAATATGTAGGACAAAATGATTTTTAACTATTATTTACAGTTCAAGTGCATTTTGATTTCATCATATATGTATGTATTTCTGTTATGCATTTTATATATTTTAACAAATTGAAATTATGAGAAAAATTTTAAATTTTTATACGAAAAAAAATTTTGATTTCAAAATTCTCAACCCGGGATTTGCAATAATATCTACAGAATGACACAAATTTTTAATTCCAAAATAAAATAGTATATTGGCATAGAAGGCGTTGATATGCCTTAAATGTTAAAATGAAGTACAAAAAAGAATCTCGAATTATTAAAATTCTGTGAATATTAACAAATTAATCATACATATTTTTTGTTTGTAATGTATATAAAACTATAATAAATGTGAATATCCGCTTTCTTCTCAGTCCTATCGTTCTTTTAATGAATTTTTCTAAAACGATACGCTAATTCTTACAAAACTATTAAAATATCCATTTAAAAATTCAGTAATTTTCATACTAATCTAACTTATAACTGGTATTATTCAATAATCTTACATTTACTTTAAATTTAGTAATTTTATATCAAAATATTTCTCTTTTCCCAAAAAATTTCGTTATGTAAATTATAAAAAAAAATTTAAATAAATCTTTAACTAACATTTAATCAAAAAAAAAAATAACAAAATAATTTTCTATTTGTTTCGAAATTTCAAATCTCAAAAAAAAAAAAAATTAAATAAAAATTTAATTAAATTTTTTACTGATTGAACTCCCAAAATCTAAGCATGAATTAGAATAATTCACTTGAATACTTCATTAACCGATTTAAGAAAATGATTACATTTTCTACAATAACTCTATACATACATAAATACGTACATATTTTTGCAAAAATAATTCAAACAGAAAAAAGAAGTAAACAAATAAAAGCCGGCAATCAAAAATTCAACTTAGAAAAGAATCCTTTTTAACAATTACCAAAATTATAAAGGACTACAAAAAAAAAGAAAACAAAAGAATTGAAAAATTTTTTTTTATCATCAGAATCATACAAAATATTTTTCTATTCAAATATAAAGAACGACACAACAAAAAATAAGTTCGGGATATTGAAAATTTCAACCTTAAGCAATTTCCGATACGTTTTTAAGAAACTAACACAAAAAAAAAATATTAAAAGTAAATAACTTGACCTTGTAATTTTCCCGTTTACTTATATCATAACATGTACTACGACTCCGAATCGAATTACTATCCGGAGTTCGATCGGAACCCTCAGATTTTAAACCCATTTCGGACCTCTTAATTTCCACGGATTTTGGACATTTTTAAATAAGTACATTATTACAACATCAACTGCGACTACAAATCAGAAATGGGATTGAATTTATATCCAGAGTCCTGTCGAATATAAAATCATATTCTGACCCTGACTAGTATCTCTTAACTTTAAAGGAATTTGAAGATCTTTCATTGTCTATTGCACAACCACAACATCCATTACTATTCTGATTACAGTAAATAATTTAAATTATTCGTTACTTGCTTAAGTAATTAGGTATATACCTGCTTGCTTTTCTTCCATCACAATAAAAATGCACCATTTTCCTTATCTCGATCACTACGAGACTCCGGCATGCATCGGGAGAATATAACTAAAATAAAAAAAAAATATATCAATACGAAATATATAAAAGGCATTAAATTTTTTGTTTTTTTTTTTTGATTAAATAAAATTCTACTTAACAATATTACATATATATTATTATGTTATATAAGTACAACAATAATAAATAAACAACAATAAGTAAATAAAGAAGGTTTAAAAAATTTTTTAAATACAAAAATATTCTAAATATACAAGATAAGACAATAACAAAAGCATAACTTTAGGAGAAATATAATAAAATTATCTTAAATTGCGCATCATTAACTAATCATTGTGATTGAAGGATATTACGGCAACATATATTTGCGCATATGTACATATATAAATACATACTTTACATAAAATTTAATAGCATACACACTTATATATAGGAATTCTTTTAAATATTCTATTATTCAATAATATATATTTAAAAAAAAAAATTATTTTCTCTCTCTATTTTCTCTTTTTCTTTCAACTACAGAAAGAAGATAAAATTCGTTTATTACGACAACGTTTAGCTGAACGTGAAGCTAATAAACCTCCTGGATCATTAGATAATAATTCAATGGGTGGTGGTGGTGTTAGTAGTGGTATTAATACTAGTGGTAATAGTGGTATACCAAATCCAGGTGGTGGAATTCCAGCAACTGGTATAGGTCCTGGTGTTACAATAACAACACCAACATCTTTAGCAATACAACAACAACATCAACAGCAACAACAGCAACAGCAACAAGGTAAAGAATCGTTAAAAGTAATTATACAACCAGAACATACAACAACATCCGATTATGATAGTACACTTGGTGGTACTAATATATCAATAGTGACACGTTCATCACGTGCCAGCCAATCTGATATTGATTTTTCTGAAAGTTATTTGTAAAAAGACAAGAAAACAAAAAAGGAAGATTCAAATTTTTCAATGTGTATATAAAAAAAAAAAATTTTCAATGTGTATAATATGGTATTGCATAGCATGAGAATTACACGTGTATAAATTTTTTATAAATTTTATATCTCTCTATAAAATGGCATTGCCATGAAACAAAGGCACAAACATAAAAATTACAAGAAAAATTGAAAAAGAAAAATCAATTTAGTTTCCATTTCTATTTTAATAAATTTTTACTTTATTACTAAAATTTTATATCAAGGAGATCAAATCTCAGTTGTTAAATGTACGCAACAGAATAATTCCCAAAATATCGAAATTTCGGATCAATTTTTCATTTGATTGCATTTTTTGATTTATATTTTGAGTTTATATTTATTTCGTTATCAGACTGTAATCCAGTTCTCAGTTAATTCTTAATTGGGATTGGAAATATAATATATACAAATTTGAAAATTTTAAAATTTGAAATAAGAATTTTTTTTTTGAAAAATCTATTGAAATATGAATATTATAGAGGTTGTTGCACCGAAATTTTGAACCGCAATTGAATTACTCTAATAATCAATTATAACTAATTAAGAAATAAAATTATTTTATACGATAACTATCAATGAGAACAAAAAATAAATATGAATAACTACAATAGATTTTCCATATCTACTATAATGAATACCAGAGATGTTATATGGTGATGAATACATAACGTGACCACGTACAAGTGATATTAAGTAATATGAGTTCCAAAAAGCTTGTGAAAAACTTGATTTGTATTAAATAATTACAATATTAATTTTATTACGTTCATCAACCAATAAATTTTTCATCTTATAAGCTTGTCTCCAAGAATAAGAAAACATATCAGTGTTTTACTCTTATTAACCTATAAGAGTATTTTGATGTTAATTACTTTCTATATTTTATATATCTTTTCGTCCATCTCTCATAATTTTCGAATAACAACTATTTGAACACTTCAAATTTAAGTGTAATTCAGCTGTCATTACTCATTATAGTGATTGTCATACAGAATACCATTGACTACGCCATTTATTATAAAATTTTTTACATTTGCTAATGTGCTCCCATAATTCTTGTATGTTAAACAAAAAATTATAAAAAATTAATAATTATTATAGAAATCTTATGTTTTTTGCAGTTATCTCCTAAAATAATAATGTAATACAATATAATCCACCTGTTACAAAAATTATCCGCGATATTCCGCGAAAATTTCTACTTACAACAAATTATACACTGTAATATATATTCTAATTAAATTTTCGTTCAAGTATGTAGGTACTTTTAATAAAAGAAATTTATAAAGCTCTCATATACAAGTTTTGCATAAAATAAGGCGTCGTCCTTCAATAAAATAATGATGAAAATTTTTAATTTCCATATTTCAAGTATTTTGGCAACCTACATTAAAAAAAAAAAAACATTTTTTTTTTATCTTTTCTTTGAACAAAAATCAATACTAACAAAAGATAAATATTACATTATTTAACAAAAAAAAAAAAGAAAATGAAATAAAATGAGAAGAACATAAAAAAAATAAAAAAAAAATTCAAAAAGAACTTAAAAGAATAATTTTTCGCCTTTAACAGAATATTTTTATTCCACCTAACATTTCAATAAAGCCCCATAAATAATTTCCCTTGTTGTCGTTTTTTTTTACCTGGAAAATTCATATAAAATTTTCAATGCCAAGCAAAATTCTAAAATTTTCTTTTTTCTTATTCTTGTTATTTTTCTCTCGTTTTTTTAATATGACTACCTGTCAATAAAAATAAATTGTAATTCAATACTTCAAAAAATAAAAAAAAAAGGAATTTGTAACAAGATTTGGGGACTATAACAAAATTACATACATACATACAAACAAAAAATTGAAAATTTTACCAATTTTACCATTAAATAACGGTATATACGCGCGATAATAATGAGTTGTTCATTTTTTTTAACAAGAATTCAAAAAAAAAAAGAACATTAAAGAAAATTGAGAATAAATTGTTAAAATTTTATATGTATGAATTTAAAATTTTAAGTTAAAATTTTTGAAAATTTTCACTTATTTTCTACACAAAAAATATTTAGAATTTAATTTATTTTCTCAGAATAACAAATTCCAAGGATCTTATAGTAGCTTTAATAAGATATTTAAATTTGATTATGGTGAAGGAAAATACCTGAGTATTGCATCAGTAAAAAGAGACTATAAGAGATTATAAATTGAAAACATCGAAATAAAAATACAACCGAATCCAAGAAATCAGTATTTTCTTTCAATTCTCACTCATATTTAGTTCGAACCTACGCAATATACACAAGTATTTTTAGATTCATTGAAAATATTGAGGCTTATTCTAAGTATCGAATCACTAAGTGATAATTATCGTAAAAGGTTTAATATTATTGTAAACACAAACCAATTCATGCAAAAGAATCGATTCTATAATAAAAGTACAATAAGTGTCATTATTTGAGCCTTAGTATACTTTAATTAAGAATACAAAAGATTCATTTTTAATTTCAACGATTTTCAAAATTGAATATGATAGAGATTTTATTGTGAAATATGTAATATTGCATAATTATAGGCATTTCTTTTTGAAATAAGAAAATCTCATGAATTTGGGACTACATTCTAAATTCAAGAATTTTATAATCAATATAGAAATGAGATAGCTGATTAAGCTCAGAAATATATACAAAAACATATTCTTTTAATATTCACTTAAATTTTTGTCAATTTTCTAATATTTTAGTATTTCTTTATTAATTCTTCCTCATTAAACTCTTAAAGGTAATACACTTTTTTCAATTGGTAATTGTATAACAGTATATTCTCCGTTCTTTTATTGTTACAATTATTGATCGCTCCTTTCTAATTTATAAAAATTCATTATGTATTCGACAAATTGATATAATACACATGCCAATATATATTTACATTCGCTTCTTTTAATGATACCTACTAAAAAACATATTAACAAATAAATCGCATCAGTTCACATTTTACAAATAATTTCCGTTCAAAAACAAAATTAACTATGTCTATATTATGTAGAAAACTCATTCTAAACACATGTACGTATGTGCATTTGATATTGTTATATTTCTTTATACTTGACATCCTTTTTTTGTTTTTCTTTCAGTTTTATATGTATGAATTTAATATTAAGTGTGTATCATTGGCATTTTTATCATAATAATAATAATAATCATAATGATCATAGAGAAACAAAAAAACACGTGAAGAAATGAGAAAAATATACAATTATTATCTTGAATTTCGAAAATTTTATTCGTTAGAAAATAAAAATAAATGGTGAATATAATTTAACGTGAGAGAAATACATATGTAAGCAACAGTGTTACCATAAAATTTTAAACTACATATATAGTTTGTAAGCAAAAAGAAAAGTTTTTACACAATATTAAAGCAAGAAAACTGAATTTTTAGCGAAAGTGAGCGGCACTCTCAAAATTACAGTAAGAGTGTATTGCTAAATAGTTCAGCAATCATAATTTATAAGCTGAATTCTGTATTAAAGCTACGGCTTCAAATCAAAAAGATTGAATGAGAAAAAATTACTTTCAAATCGGGATGATTTCCACATTATAAAATTCAGTTTGTCAAAAACAGTGTTGTAGTTGTAAACTCGATTAAGACAGGTTTTTCTTGCAACAACAGAAATGAACACATTGTTTGACTTCAAAGATACCTTAACATAGTATTAATACATAATTCAGCAATTCAATCTTATAAGCTGAATTGGGTCTTAATACCGCATTACTACATTTTGGAAGTCAAAAATTAAAAACTGAAAATTAAGTAATTGATATTCTGGCAATTATACTTGCACATTACATTAAAAACAAAATTATGATTAGTATAATAGAACAAAAAATTAGTATAAACGCAATAGAGAAAAGAGATCAATATTTTAGAAAACGAAAGAATAATAACAAGGAAAAAAAACAGGATTTTTTTAAAGATTTGATTAGGTTTATGTTTACATGAACACAAGAAAATAATCAATGCTTATTCAATTGTTATTCTCATATATTTTAATATAAATTCTTTCCATTCGTTTGAAGTTCATACATACATATATGTGTTGTACTTATATGTTTCTCTTGATTTTTTATAATATTTGTATTCTTAGAATTCTTCACTTGATATTTTATTATTATAATAATATTATAATGATGATATCTTATACACAAAATTTACATATATTTTCACACATGCACATTTCATATTACAAGGTTTCCCAGAATATTTTTATTAAATGTTAAAAAAATGACAAAATGTTATTGCAAAAATGTATTATTGCATCTAAAATTGCATTAATATTGTATTACAATACAATTCCGCTTATAAACTTTAATTGTAACTGAATTTTGTATTTATAAGGTTTTAAAAAAGTGTTTAAAAATGAATTATGCATTTTTATAGTTCCATTCGCAACATAATGTCAGAAAAAATTGGAAACACAACAAAACACAATTTGACTTACAAAATGCAAATACACAACTCAGAAATTCATAGTTATAGGCTGCATTCTGTATTAATACCATATCACTGCATTTTGGAATACACAATACATGAGTTCTTATTGATGGGTTTTTTAAAATACACAATTCCGTTTAAAGTGCTTATGGTTGAATTATACATTAATACATATAACTCAGCTTAAAATTGTTTACAGCTGAATTGTGTATGAGTACAGTTTTAATACAATATAAATATTAGAAAATGTAAACAACAATATAACAATACAATTCAGCTTTTCTAATCTAATCGCTGAATTGTGTAGTAATTCCAGAACT